ACGTTATCCAGAATTATTGGCCTAATTGGAAGGGCTCATAGAGAATGTGAACATGCTGGAATCGTCCCACTCAAGAAATCCGACTCTGGACCGACATCCTCTATATATTATTCGATCCAGCAGAATAAGTGAAAGCCAAAGGCATGCTGGAGACTGTTGCTCGGTCTCCAGCATGCTTTTGGCGTTTTGGCCCCATCTTTGGATAAACCAAGGGGCAGGGGGAGGGAGGTTACGTTGGTTCATTCCGACAAAGTCATCCACGTGTATTAATAGCGTGCAACCTGGCATAAATTCGATATAAAAATTGAAATTTGCGAAATTTTTACCGGAGTCTGGGCTGGCTGACTCATTGCTCATCTGGGAGGCCAGCACTCGTTGTCTTTCTAGAAGACGTTGCAATAAGCTGATCGAGTCGACTGTCGACGTGGTTGGCTGGAACCGCATCTTTAGAGTTGATAATAATAAAAGAATATATGAAGAGAGTATCCAAGAAGAAGCCGACTGTAGAGCAGGAAGTGTGTGGCGCTTATCAGCGATTACGACCGAGCGGGGTCGAAGTCCTCGAACCTTGGACGGGCGTCAAAAACTTATCATACCGGGCTAACTTCTCAGTAAAGTCTCGTGACTTTTTTGACAGGAAACAACCACATCCTTTTTTGTTGAGAAATTTGATCGTCAGCAAAATTGAAGTTCCACATAAAAAAAGCTTTGCGGGTGGGCAACTGTTCTGAAGATCCCCTGTCTTCAGACCTACCCAGGGGTTATGGGAAGGGTAGAGAAGGAATATATAGCACTACCTTGTCATCGACGAGATTTGCAGGGCTCCATAGAATCGCCGGTGCGCTGGTTCGTCGCCCGTCAGCGTATTTCGGCTGTGGTCGTTCGATTTTGAACGAGTCACTTGTCTCAACTTTGATGTGATGGTCCTGCAAAGAAAGGAGTACGGTTACTAGGAGTGCCTTTATAGTTTTATGAGCTGCTGGGTGTACTGTTAACCTCCAGATTCAGATTAGATGCTTGAAAATCAGACATAAGGCTGAAAAAAAGCGCACCGAAATATTTTCAGAGCCCATGGTCCCGCAGAGATAACTATGATACGGTATCGGTGGGTTGTGTTTGTCTGATGATCAACTTGGCGATTATGAAAAGCTTAGTTCTTTTCCAGAGCAGGAAAGATCTGCGGTGTCATAGCATTCCTTGAGATTGATGACTAACTGATAAGATAAGGGAAATGTTAAAATGCACGGAAGGAAGTGTTCGTAGAAAATCACGCGGAACACTAAAAACACGAATAAAAACAAGAATAGTAAGATAGGCTCCTTCGTAAACAGAATTCCGACACTCCTCGATTTTGCTTTCTTTTCCGGCAATTTTTTTTTGATATTTTTATTTTTCCTGATGGAAATTGTATTTTTGAATGTATGGTAGGAAGTAAGAAATGAAGACTTAGGAAGTATAAAATGGAAGAGGCTGAATTTCAAAAAAATATCAAGGATATCAGGAGAGGCTCTATTGTGGTTAATCCTAGTGCTACCCGGGTTACACTAGATGAAATTTTGAAAAGTGGACGTTTTTCAGCAGCATTTTAAAACCCAAGTAAGCTCAAGTGAAGAAGGAGCAGAATAAATGAGGAAATTGGGAAAGGAAAGATGATTCAATCGTCTAGTTCTCTTCTACGGGCATCTGTAAAGCGGAAGCTGGCCTACTTCTTTACTATGCCCGTATAATAAATAGTAAATGTGAAATTAATTAACTATAGCTCTTCTATCATCTCTTTCATAACTTTTTTTCATTCATTCTTTGAATCGAAAAAAATAGAATTAAAATAGATTTCATTTGATATCGTGTACTTTTCGGCTTCAAATAATTTATTCAAGTAATAATTACAATGAATTAAATTAATTGATATTTAATATAATTAATTCATATTATTCTAATTACAGGTCAATCATAACATGAGCAAAAAAAAATTTAATCATTAAATAGAATAAGGTTAAAAGTGGTCATACATAGGATATAATGCAGTGGAAAGCTACTAGAATCACGATTAAAAGCTAAAGGTCAAAGGAATTCCATTAGAAATTCTTAAATATTAGACAGAGTCAATAAGCTGTTGTAAATATACTATCAAAAGCAGAGTCAGTTGAAACGTAGCCTTGGTTCTTCAGTGGTTAGCCCACCGACCAGAAAAGCATGAAGTTAAGGTTCGAGTCTCGGATGAGGCCGTTGGCCTTGGCCTAGAGCTCCAATCTCTCTGCCCTTTCTGTCAAGAGGTCCTTTATCATTGAAAGATTTTTGAGCTTGAATTAGTGAAAGCTGGAATTCATGTAGCCTCTGGTATTTCTCATAGTAAAGCTTTTAAGCACGAGAAAAACAACGTCGTTGATTGACCAAGGGAAAGTTAGTGAGATTCCGAAATCATGAAAGAAACGACGACGATGAATGATCGTGCGTCTCACTTCTTCCAGAATACGAACGAACGTATTAGCGGGTTATAGAATGAGGGAATAAAATGTGTTATTTTCTGAAAACCGGCTTGAAATCACACGAGATCAGTTTCTTTGGAAACATTTCATAACAAATTAGTTGGGAACTTCTTGAGCCAAAAGCTGCACTCCGAAGACTGTTAAGCGGAAGGGGTCCGCCTGTCATTGTAGCCAATGTCGCTTGATCCGAAAACCAAATCCAAAAAAATCATGATTTTTGCGCGGTTATTTTTAGAAGTGGATTTGTTTGAGCCATAGATACGAACTCTGGGCTCTCTATGGCGTTCCGATGGATTTGGGTGAGGCTTGCTGATTTCAGTCCCTGAATCTTGACCAATACAGCTAAGAATCAGATGGTCACTCACTCCGCTACTTTTCCGGAATTCGGATTTGGTTTGATCAAAATTGGTGGGGGAGGTTGAAACTCGTAGAGAGGGGGGAATTCTCCTGCAAAAGGAGGAAAAGAGCAACATGAAAACCTGAAATCCATACCTCTGGCTGACAACGTGGTCCCATCGGCAGCGGTTGAGGGTCACGACACACTTGTATCATAGTCCCGCGGAAGAGCGAGATGGCGGTGAGCACAGAATCGTGCGTTTCACCACGCGTCCACTAGCCGTGGTTCGAGGCTGGCGGCTACGCTGGCGCTCGGTGGCGCCGCCCTCGTTCGTGACCAGTGACCGGCGTCGGTGTCTCTGTCACCGCGCCACTCTCTCCCGGACCGTCGAGCGCGTCGCCTCCAGCGACCGTACTCAGGAATCACGACGGACAGACCGAACGATTGCCCGCCTTCCTACAACACAAACGTTCTCCCACAGACACCACCACCATCACATCCGGGCTATTAGAGACGTGGAAAAACGGCGACGATTCGGACGAGTTGCAGCTGTTGATGGCTCCGGCTGGCTGTAGCCAATAGCTCACGTTTTTGTTCAGCTTTCGTTACTGACTGGTTCGGTGAAAGCAGGTGAAATAACAGAATTCGATGATACTTCTTGGATTGCGCGACGTTTTCCTGCCAATAATCCGGGAAGATAAGGCTCCCAGAATGTGTGAATTACAAAGTGACTTGATGACATCCCTCTAAACCTATTATTGGCATTCTGGTTATTGAGGGAAAACTTCGACTTAAAAACTCTTTTCAAGGATTTCTATGGTCACTCTGGGCTCAAGCTCAGAATAGTCTGCTCGCCTTCAGAGAGGGTTATTGTTAGTCTAGAGGGCTCTCCAAAAAACTCACGTTGGTGGGGTAAGACAGAAAATCCTGAACAGGACATACTCAGGGTTTGATAATCCGCAGAGCTAAGGTATTTTAACTGATGGATTCAATTATTTCAAAAAAGCCTTAGATTAATATCGAACATTCTGCCTCCTCATTTCGGCTCTCAATCTTCATTTACGTATTAAGGTGTCTCCTTAATGTTGGTTCGGTGACATAAGATCCTTATTCCCAAATGTGTTAAATTACGCTTTTAGGATGGATAACGCCCCACCGCATAAGGGGTTACAGTAGTTCACGATGTACACACAGTGACATACCACCCTAATGTTGCAAAAAATCAGCAATGAAACAAAATTATCGTTTTTTTGCTCCTCCATAACCGGGTACAGGTTTTTATTCACCCCACCGAAAGTAAGATAGTTCAAGCTCGGCTTGTCGAGCTCTTCGTGATTTTTTTTGAACAGATTCGTGGTGGTACATGTCCACGAAACTCCAAAAAATTCAGCCGCTGCCCCAATGCACCATTTTAACTTTTAGAGTAGTACTTGATCGAGAAAAGATTGATAGGAGGGGTAAATTGATCAAAGATGGATTCATTAAACAAGTCAAGTAGAGGCAGAGCGTAACGCTAGCTAGCGCATTGTACAAGCACGGAAATGACCTGGTTTTTGAAGTGTGAGACGATAATTTATTCCGCGTTTGAATAAACAGGAGCTGAAGACGTGATTCGTGTCATCCTGAAGGATTCCGGATATTCCATCACAGTGGAAGACGGAAACGTTTGGCTAGGAGCAGTCACAGTCATTCCCTGTACTATTTCTCTTTGTCATTTTCAATGAGCCAGTATCGGGCACATATTTCTCATATAGCAAGATTTAGCCCAGACGCTGGAAATCTTAACTAGTCAACAGAATAAGCGTAGTGTAGTTGAGCTTTGTTTGGCCCCATGAGCCTGAATGAATGCTCATCTTCGGCAGCGATGACGGCATTGCAGGCCAAATACAGCAAACGCAAACGGATTGCAGAGTTCCAACCAAAATAGTCCTACGAACGGTTAGTTTCGAATGTGCCACATATCTAACCTCCATTCACATTTTGTATGTGTACAAAAGCTCTCTTATGCTTCCAATTTAAATCTAATCAATCGCCCATTTGGTCACATTTATTGCCTCTAAATGCAATATTTATTTGTCGACTCATATGTTTATTATTTATTTATTTATTTGTTTATCATGCACTTTTAGGAGTAATCTCAATAGAGACAAACCGCTTACAAATTAGATTGTCGAATTGAAGAAAAAAGCTCAAAATGAGCGATATTTTACGCAACAAGTTCCTTTTTACATATTAGTCATAATGTTGAGACGTACGATCTTAGGGCAATATCGCCAAAAGGCAGCCATCAGTTTTTCCATACACTGTCAGATGGGGTGCAAGCTTTTTGTGTGTGAAACCTTGTTTTTGTGTGTAGAAATGTACCTTCTTTCACAAAAAAAGCGGAAATGCGTCGAGTGCAGACCATACATTACAAGTGACGACGAGTGATGTTTTCTCCCACTGATCAGTCTATTGCAATTCTACTCTATCAGCTGACTGATTACAACCCTCATTAACCAACTATCAGCTATCATTAT